GATACGATCCGTTCGAGAAATGATTCCCCTGCTATCCGGATTCTATTGTGGGAAACGAATCAGCTTTTTGTGATCGAATAGGCCTTAATCTTGCAACTAACCCAGAAGCACACTTCTTGCAGCCTGTTAGCCTCTTTGTAGATCTGATCACCGAACCCGAAGCTATGGAGAATCTCGATCGTGCGTGACTGTAGTCCATCTGCATGACCGTTCACAATTGGACTTGCCCTCTTGTCGATGAGATTGGTTTTTAAACCATAGACACTCGCCCAGGCAGCCGCCATCAGCCTATAAGAATCAATTCAATCAGCTCATGGAAGAATTGATCTGGTACACAGCGATCTCACCCTGCCGGGCCAGCCCCGACTATCACGAGGTCATACTGCTCGATCATCTCGCGCTCGATTGTGATGTCGAATGGACCACAAAGCCCAATTTGGTCAAAAAATGGCCTCAGCAGGCGTTGCTATGTGGCAGGGTTTAGACGTTGTCTTCACTGACGCTAGCAAAATCACCTCTCAAGAAAAGAATATTTCCTACATGGTACCTATTTTGGTTCACGTATGACACTTATTATACTGAACTCGCCGGATCATTGTGGATCATTGTACTCGGATCAGAGTACATGAGTTTGTCGGAAGGGGGACTACCTCATGCGGCAAGTTCTCTCCGAGGAGGACTCTAAACTGCGGAATCAAGAGCACGCGCGCGGTTTTGCGGCTCGTTGTGGGGTTCAAGCTTACCTGGATGAGAAGCTGGTGAGATGTTCGGTGCTGACCCGCTGGCCGGAGCGTTGTTCTGAAAGATCTAAAAGCAGTATGCTGTTCGGGGTGCCTTACATATACGTAAGGCCCGAGGCCCCTCGGGGCGCCTCGGGCGTCCCTACTGCCCAGAGTTTTGGGTATAACTTGGGGATGGGGATTCACGTCATCACAATCCTTTACGTGCGGTATCATAGTTGCCGCAATAGAATACTTCATTTCTTTTCTTAAGGCTCTGTGTCAATAGCAAACTATAATAGATTTCAGACCAGCACGAGTATTTAGAGATGGAGGCTGAAACTTGTCACCAGACTTAAATTCTAGCATGGTCTACTACGCGGGAAGTCTGTCTCTTTCCAGTTTCTGGATAAGCCTCTTCGTCATGGCCATTTCTAAGGTTTCTTCCTTTCGAGTTGATGTTCACACGCACCCTATTCCTGACATATATCGAGAAGCCCTCGTTAATGCCGGATACGAAGCGAGTAATGTATCTGAGGTTTTCGTGGATGGGTTCAGGACCCCATATCCTTTCACTATCGAAGGATATCTGGACGCTCGCCACGAACAGGGTTATAATTTCAGCATCTTGTCCATAACAGCGCCCGGTGTGTCGTTTCTCCACGGCAATTTCAAAGCTCAAGAGCTGGCTCGCACTTTGAACGACGAGATGCATCAATATATCCAAGCCCATCCAACCGAGCTTGGCGCATTTGGCCTTCTGCCTCTGCCTGACCTTCCAAGTTCATTGGAGGAAATAAGGTACTGCCTAGATGAGCTCGGATTCGAAGGGATAGGTCTATATACGAACTACGATGGTAAATATCTGGGAGACCCTTTCCTCGATCCTATTTTCGAAGAGCTCAATCAACGGCAAGCCACTGTCTTTGTCCATCCTACAAACCCTCCAACCTCGCCACCACTGCAAAACATGTCTCTTCCAGTGATAGAGTACACCTTTGATACGACTAGAGCGATCGGTAATTTGCTATTCACTGGAACTCGCAAACGGTATCCAGACATCAAATTCATATTCTCCCATGGCGGTGGAGCTCTCCCGTTCCTTGCCGACCGTCTTGCGATCCAATCGACCTTGCCTTTCCATGGTGGTCGTGATCTAAATGAATCTCTTGCCGAGCTCAAAGACTACTACTACGACACTGCTGTTGTGCTTGGAGAGCCTCAGTTTGCCGCCCTTAAGGCATTGGTCGGTGCTGACAAACTGCTGACCGGTTCCGATTGTAAGTTGAATGCCTCACTCTGTGATAATGACATGCTTTCTAACAATTGTTTTGAAGATCCCTATCTTCCTGCAGCTCTGGTTCCCATGGCACAAGGCGCGCTTACAGGATTCGAAGGATTTGACGACGCCGAAAAAGAAAAGGTTGACTGGAGAAATGCCTTTGAGCTTTTTCCAACTCTCCGAGCAAAGTTTCCAGAGCTAGAGTAGTAGTTTAGTTAGTTTCGAAGCAAGAAAACAGTAGATCTCTCCTTTAGCGATTATTTGCGACCTCTTCATCCTCTTTTACTTTGCATAAGACCTGGAGTCACTTGCCAAACGGGTCAGACAGTCAGGTTCTCCAAAGTACTCTTTCGCAAAAGCAAATCCGCCACAGCTTCCAGGTACGTATTCAAGTCATCCGGCATGTCATCCGCATAGATGGTGCGGATGACATGAATGGTGCCAGATGAGGATGAAGGCCCTGAGCGAGAAGAATGGGTTTGAAGATGGGAAAATCGAAACTTGGGTTCTTTAATGCATCATTCTGAAAGCTAACAAAGTACTCGACTCTCTTTCTGCGCTCTATTGGTGGGCACTGTCTAAACCGCCAACCTCAGGCCCAAGATCATGCTGAATCTGCGCTAGGGATTTGAGATAGTAGCTCTTGTCAGCTTTTGCATCAATGTCGGCCAACGTGCAACCATTCCCAAGCCATCCTGTTCTGTTGTCGTCCACATGGCTATACTCAAAGTCTTCCCACCTAGGTTCTGACAGAGCTTTGACTGCATGAAGGCTAGAGCCGGGCCACAGCGCTGCGACTTTACCGTCGGCTTTATACCAGGAAGGGCATACCTCGCTATATACCGTCCTCTCAAAATAGCTCTCACAAAACTGAGTGAAGTCATCAACACACTGTTTCGACGGACGGATCGACAGTATGTTTTCTCTCTGCATTTTGGCGACCAGTTTGGCAATGTAGCCAGCCACGTGCTCCATTATGATCAGTAGATTTCCTGCCCCGACACCTGAATTTGGGCCCAAGAGCATGACTAGGTTTGGATGCGTGTCAACCATCATCGACAAGTAAGTTGAAGTCCTTGGTCTATCAGATTTGTCGAACAATCTTTGGTTATCAAGACCAAGAATCGGAAATCCACCTGTGAAGTTGGTGTTGAACCCTGTAGCACAGATAATGGCGTCAACCTCTCGATGGTGGCCATCAGCTGTTTCGATCCCCGTCTTGGTGATTTTCTTGATGGCTGAAGATATGACTTCGACATTATCTTCGGATAGTGCCTCAAGGTAGCCTGGGCCGGGTGTCAAGCGCTTGCATAATGGGGCAAAACTCGGAAGGATCTGCTTCAGTATCTCGGGCTTTTTCTTGAGGCGCTGGGCCATGAGCGTCTGGAAATAACCTCGAGCTTGCTGCTGCAAGGCGCTGTCGCGAAGAGTGACTTCGAAATCGCTCTGCACGGTGTTTTCAACTTGTTTCCGATACTCGAGATACGACTCCGGGTCCTGCTGCCACTGTTTGATCTCTTCGTCTGTATACTCAAAGTTGCCGGTCTCAACTCCGCGCTTTGCCAGTTCTTGCGCTGCCATCGGTGTTGCGATCCATGTCTGCCCGCGCACATAATGATCCAATCGACGAACAGCGCCTTGTATGCTCGGTACAATCTGAATGCCACTAGAGCCAGCCCCGATGACCGCAACATCCTTCCCCTGATTGAAGTTAGTCACAATAACACGCTGTGTGATTCGGGGCATTTACCTGCGGGTCAAAGTCTGCATCCCAAGCCGCACTATGCATTTTTGCCCCCTTGAAGTCCTCAAGTCCTGGAATATCTGGCCATTTCCAAGCATTGAGTAGGCCAACAGCCGAGATTAAGACGTGGCAAGAATCCTTGATGGTTTCTCCCGTGAATTCATTGAGAATTTCAATTTCCCATCTAGACTCATCCGCAAGCCACTGTGCGCGAGTGACACGATGACTGAAATGCATAAGTTGACGCAGGTTGTACTTTTCGGCAACTCTCTGCCAGTAGCGGAGGATCTCTGCTTGGCCCGCGTAGAATTTTGACCATGCAACATTCGAGTCAAATGACAATTGGTAAATATGTGCTGGGATATCTGGAAGCTTAGATTAGCCTTAGAATCATTCTTCCACTCAATTGAAAACTTGCCGCATGCGCAACCCGGGTAACGGTTTTCATACCAAGTGCCTCCAAGATCTTTATTCTTCTCATAGATCTTGATGTCGACCATACTTGTAGCTTCACGGAGTTTGATTGCAGCCAGCATTCCAGAAATCCCTGCACCTATGACCCTGACGGATATTCCTCGGGGAGCATCGATTGGGCGCTCCGCCACCCGAAGCGCAGATTGGACACTACTGATCATGATGGATTTTCTGATGATCGTGTTGAGCTGCCTTTGATGTTAGACAGGAGGCCATCATCGAGGGTGAGTTCAACGTCTATTATGGCGTGAAAGTTCCCATTCTTTGCCGCTTCACGGATTACGAGGCGGGCCGCAAATCGTTCTCAGGTTCGGACCGTTGGTCAACCCCCTCATTCGATGGCTACATCATCTTTGGCTCAGGCCAGCCCATAGGACGTAGCCCTTAGCATGGCAAGAGGCAAAGATTCTGTAGCATTGTGTAGGATTCGGGAACCGCCCGATGTCGATTGAGAAACCGAGGAGCAGATTTTGCGGGCCGCATTAATCCGCAATTTTTATGATAGGAGGCCAAGGCAGCCAATTTGTGGAGGCCTTAGGCGTACCAAGGTGAATATGGGGTTCAGCTTGAGCATCATTGGAGGAAGAAGTGCCCCAAGAGCTATTTGCCCACGCGCTCCGGGGTAGGCGGGGTTTGGGGACGGGAATCTCGGTCATCTCTCAAAGGTCTTAGAAGTCTTGACCATGCATGGTTATCAACAGTTCATAAAGGCGCCGCCACGGCATCCCAGGTCCGCATTCTAAGCAACATTGCAGCCGCCGCAAGCTTCCAGTACCGAGTAATGACACTGCAAGAGTCCAACCCTCTGTTTGCCCACGAGCAGCGGCTACGAGGGAGAACGAGAGGCATTCAAGCATGTGATCAGTGCAGGGCCAGCAAGCGCAAATGCGATGGTGGACGCCCGGTCTGTGGGACCTGTGCAAAGCGCCCAAGTCGAGTTGCATGTATCTATGAAAAGCCTGCGTCTCGCAAGAGTCGGACAACACGGTAAGTCCAAAATGCTTCTTCAAATATTTTCATTCCACAATGGCACGCAGCTGTTGTGGCTTTAAGAGAGCGGGATGGAGAGAGTGACAGCGGACACTCTTGCAGTAGAAAAAGATTTATGTGGTTGTCATTTGGCCTCATCTAACGATGCAACTGAGATTCCTTTATGACCTTATAAGTTCTGAGGAGGCCCGCTATGTCAAACACAAGCGACACTGTACCTGGCTTCTCGCACATGCTAATAACAATGTGACCACAGGAGAATTGAATTGCTGGAGACCCGTATCGCCGAGCTTTCTAAAGCTCAACTTGGTGGGGATGACGATCTTTCAAACGAGCCTGGGTTTTCGAATGACGCAGAAACGTTGGCACCCACGACCGCTCAAGTCTTTTCCCCCTCGGTCTATCAGACACTGGATTCCTTTCCTGGTTTCCAAGATCCCGAGATCTCGTCATTTAACAACCTGCCGCCAGCCCTGTCTTCGGCCGAGGGAGGGTGGAAAGGAGAGCAAACGACCTCGGCAAAGGTTGAGAGAAGATTGGGTGGGATCAGAGTCACTCCAATCTCATCCGATGAACATGAGGTGGGTCAACATCAGAAGCTTCTTGTCAGCGACTGATCTTCTAGAATGAGAAAGAAAGCGACCGTATTGACGGCATGGGGCTTGTAGCGGGGGACATGACAGACATTGCCAGTCTGGATACTGAGCAAATTGGCTACTTTGGAAGATCAAGTACGATCAACTTTGTTGGACATGTTCAAAGTATACTTGGGGCGTCATCGCCTCGTCCTGACGAGACAAGTCCGTATTCGACGGAAGACATGCCAAGTCACAAGTAAGCCTAATCATATATCAGACTGCGACGAACCACATACTGACTATTGCCTAGCCGCCGAAGGCACCCGGAGTACCCTGAAGAATACGTGATTCCACCTCGCAAAGAGGCTGATAATTTCCTGAGAAGCTTCTGGGTCAACGTTCATCCACTATATCCTTTCATCGATCGAGTCGAGTTCGATCGCCACTACGAAGAGATATGGAGCGCGGACTCAACGGAGAACTCTAACCCAAGCTACGAGTATTCAGATCCTCTTTTCTGGCCGCACTCGACAATTTCAAAGCCTGACAAAATCCCTGAATCGAGACGATTCCACATCCTCCTCAATATAATGATGGCGTTGGGTTGCCATTGCGATGATTCTGGCCCAATCGCGGATGTGGCTACAAGAAGCCACCTTTTCTGGCTGCGAGCCAAAGGACTACTGGAACGTGACTTTGATGTCTTCAACCGACCTCGAGTGCAATTCATCCAGGCTCTCCTCCTTATCGCGGTGTATTTACAATGTTCTACAGAGCTGACAGGAGCATGCTGGAATATAGCTGGTGTCGCGATCAGACTTTCTCAGGGATTAGGTATCCCCTCGAGTGCCAAATCCGAGTCGGTCAGACTGCGTCGAATGCTCGAAACGGAAGGCAATACAGACTATGTGGCAACCTTGACATCTCGATGGAGAATCTGGGCAGGCTGTGTCATAGTAGACCGGTACGTCTGAAGCTGGGGCAGAATATCGTTCAAGCATGACTTCCTAACGTACCTCATCTCATCACCTAGAACCCTAGCCACAACTTATGGTCGTCCAGCCATGATATCACGCGGTGCAGCAGACATATCCATTTGTGGGTTCAATGCTGAGATGAATGAAGGGCTAGGGTCACAACAGGATCCTCAAATCAGATCACTCATCTATATGAATGAGATGTTGAAGCTCCATGAAGTGCTCGACTGTGTCACTGTCAAATATTCCAAATCTTGCGGAGATCAAGACCTCGAGATGGACCCCACGAATCGAGCGGCGGAGAAAAGCGTGTTCACTGGACGTTCGCTCATTTGTCAGATTGAAAGAGGTGATTTTGATGACCTCCTGCATTCTGATGCTGCACTCTCCGGGTGGGAAAGTGAAACTCCGCCTGGCATGAAAATGCTGTGTGCCCACGAGTTGCACCCAGGAACAGCTTTTGATCCACGTATTGATAAGCAGGTGGTTGCATTACGTGCCAGGTATGCGCCCATTCGTTGTCGTTGGGACGGTTTACTGACAGTGCCAGATACCTCTATGGCCGTGTTCTTACTTTTAGACCACTGCTGCTGCAGAAGATAGCGAGGAATAGAGAACGAGTGGTTGAGAAGCGCCACCAGCAAACTGTTAGCTCGATTTTGACAAAAGCATTGGTCGAACAAGGACCAGGACTCTGCGTTGACGCAGCCGAGGAATTGGTGGCGACAATGGCATGGGTTCACCAACACAATATTAAGGCAGCCATAGAGCCATGGTATACAGTATTTTGTGAGATCAGTCCCCTTCAAAATTAGCTTCATGTCTAACGATGTGCCGACAGACATGTACACCTGCGCAATGATCCTTTTGGTGGATCGACTCTGCCAGGCAGACAATTCAAGGACAGAGAGGACGATCAACATCTGGAACAGTTGTCTGGAAGTTTTGGATCGGTATCAATCCAAAAGCAGAACTGCGCGCCGATGTGTGAAGTTGCTCAAATTAAGCGAGGAGAGTTTCTTCGCAGCCACTCGTGAGGCTCGTCAAGACACCGCTACTCCTGCTATACCACACGCGAACACCCAGCATAATGAATCGACCAAGTTTGATACTGGAGCAGGACAGACCTTATACCAGCAACTGGACATGAGTGAAATCTCTCACCCAGATTTGATCGACCCAAGAGAAAGCCAGAACGTGGGCGAAAGTTGGTCGAGCCAATGGACGGATGATCAAATCGATCTCGCATGGTTGGGAACCCTGCCTTTTGATCTTGACTTTGATGAAAGGTGTGGCGCATTATGGTGAATACATCCTCTCATAGATTCATATGAAGTGATTGGTATAACGACATCGTGGTCAAGGCCAGACACCCCGTGTCTGATATACAGTCACGTGGGAGGCGCGACAGAAGTGGGTGGCAATGATAATAATGATCACGTGACAGGATTTTTCATCGAATTCGTCTCTTTTCAGACTGAGTGTCCTGGTGCATCTAAAGATCTTATGTCGTGGCGTGACTGTATAGGTGGAAACTGGAGTCGAGTCTACACATATCCATATCTCACACCCCTGGCAGATGAGAGTTTGAATCGCTGCAAAGGCGTGAGCTAATCCTATTGATAGGCGCATAGGATGGAATTTTAGAACTAATTGGGAATAGGCGGCGTTTGCCCAGAATCGTCGACCCCAAGCGGGAAGTTTACTCCTGGGCTTATCATAGTGGCATCCACCGGGAAATGCTGCAGGGCGGGCCACAGCCGAGAATACGCCATTGCCACGCCATCTCGAACCCCATGTTCTCATGACGAGAGACTCTACGGCTTCTAGATATTCCAGGCAAAACGCTGCCACAATCGTCTTATTTGTACAGCCTGTGTTCACTCAAAGTCCCTCTGTGTCAACCTTCAGCAATGGCGGGGCGTTCCTATTTGATAATTGGAGCCGGTGTCTTTGGCGTTTCCACTGCTTACCATCTCATCAAGAAGTATCCCAAAGCGTCGGTGACCATTGTTGATCGTGATGCCTACGACGCCAACAGCCGTGTGGCAGCATCATGGGACTGGAACAAAGTTGTTCGAGCAGACTATGATGACATAATCTACTGTCAACTAGCCCTCGAAGCCCAGGACATTTTCAAGTCAGATCCGCTCTGGAAGCCATATTTCCACGAAACAGGTATCTACTGGATGTGTCGGAGCGACTATGCACAGGAGGTTGTGCAAAACTACAAGAAACTCGGCAGAAAAGCCGACCTATCGGCAGTGCCTGTTGAAGAGGCCCGAAAGCTGTTCGGTGGCCTGTTCGAAGATGCCGATTACACTGGAGTCAAGGAAGTTTTGATCAACAAGACCAGTGGCTGGGGTGCGGCTGGCGATTGCCTGCGCGCCGTCACTCGAAAGTGCATCGAGCTAGGGGTCAAATACGTCGTTGGCGACGTTGTAAGTTTGCAATTCGATGGATGGGGCAACTGTTCCGGAGCCAAGACTGCCGACGGCCAGGTCTTGACAGCTTCGCATACTGTTCTCTGCACGGGGGCATACACACCCAAGCTGCTGGAGTACAGCGCAAAGAGTAGTGGCTTGTCCGCCTTGCGTGCTGGAAATCGAATTGTCGCGGGTGGAATCACCACTGGCATGACGACACTTGACGACGAGTCGTATAAAAGATTCGCTGCAATGCCTGTGGGCGTCCAAGGCTATACCGCTGAACAAGGTCCCTTCATTGGCAGTCTTCCACCCACCAAGGACAAGGAGTTGAAGTGGTGGGGCGAGAAGATCTTCACGAATCATCAGGAAGTCCTACCTGGCCAGATCGTTTCGGCCCCTCCCCCAGAGAGAGACTACGGCCAGTGGAACGTGTCCAAGAAACTCGTTATGGACATTGACCACGCGAACCATGTCTTCTACGGGCGGAAAGGCGCTAGTTGGAAGATGGAGAAACATCGCATCTGCTGGTGAGTTGAGATCTCCCGAGTCCGGGGTTTCCACATCACATGACTGACAATTTTGAACAGGGATGCTTTCACCACGAGCTCAGATTTCATCATTTCACCGCATGCAGCAGCGAATGGCCTGTACGTGGCTTCTTGCGGTTCATTCCACGGGTGGAAATTCTTCCCTGTGCTTGGAAAGTACATTGTCCAGATGCTCGACGGTGCACTCTCCCAAGAGCTGACAGACAAATGGGCCTGGGATCGAGAGCGGCCAGACCCTGCGCTAAACCCCGACTATCCGAGGTGGGAGATGAAGGATTTGATAGACCCAGTCAGAACTGCAAAACTATAGTTAGCCATAATCATCAGACCCTTACTGTACCGAAATTCCGAGTTTTGCGAAACTTGACTTTTGTGACTCGTGTTAGTTCAAATTTGCGCTCCGACGAGACGAGCTCCATCACCGCATGCTCACAACCTTGATTTGGGGCTGGAATCCTTTGACCCATGATCGCAGCGGCTTCTGTGTCCAGTCATCAATCGACGATGCAGTTGTTATGAAGAGACGATGCTGCAAATGCTGAAAAAAGCAAGCGGACCGTTTGGCGGCATAATTCCAGGATTGGGTAATGGGTAAAATTAGACGAAGCGCTCCGTACCGAATCCCCGAGTCAAGCAAGGTCAATGACACGCCCAAGCCTTCACTATCGGGCACGCACGTCGAGCGTTTGTCCTAAGGCGCGGACGAGTCCACTGCTTTGACGGAAGATGGACACACTGACCTAGTTTGGTTTAGCCGATGTGCAAGACAATCTGGTCCCCACGAAAGTTTAAATCCCCTTTATCACATGCTTACAGCAACGTCCAAGAGATAGAGATAGGATCCCTGAGTTGTTGAAGGCAAGCGATCAAAATGTTCTGGCCATCTGCTGTTTGCTGTCTGCCTGTCGGTCAATGATATCGGACTCGGGTGACATTGCACGAATTGGATTGGCTGTCCACCCTGCACCAGCGCGCCTGACCTGCAGTTCATCACCACGGCGGATGAGGTGGATGCAATGTTAGAAAGATCCTAGGGCATGAATAATCCCATTCTTTTGGGCCATACTGCAATCAGGTTTCCGGCGCGTCAATGCTTCCTGAGCAATGGTGTTTGATTGCCATAGCGAGGCGCAGCGTCCTGATACAAATCGGCTAGGAACGAGGGGAGATTTCCAGTCCAGGCTCATAAGTCCGTAAATGTGTGTCACAAGGTCTTGCTGTGGATGTCGGTGACATTCCTTCGTCTCGGTGCCTGCCCCTCCAAGTCATTAGCATCTTCGTCCTGGATCCAGAATCGAAACAGAAGTCCTGTCCTCCTAGACCCAAAAAGCAGTTATGCATAGCATTTCTTTTTGCCAGGCCCCGTCTTCATGTAGTGACCTCCGGAGTAGATGCCACGAACTATCATTAGGGGTACAGCGTTGCTTTGGTTTGGACTCTCGGTGACGGTTGCATGGGGGCTCTGGGTGGGTTGTAGGCATCCGCTTTGACGTGTCATGGATGTTGTTGATGTATACCCGAAGGGCTTGCCACTGGCCTGATTTTTTGTTGCATTCGGCATAGGTCAAGCTAGCCCTTGAGGTGTACATCCTCCATACTATCGACGAGACTATTTCAGCCATGGATTTGTTGCGTGTGGACAGTTGCGTGTGGACAGTTGCGGCAAGCTTCAGCGATGCTTCTTGGAAAGCTGATGCTGGATGAGAGATGTTGCGTAGGGATATACATTCGTAGCAGTGACAATTGTTGCTTGAGGGCTGCAGCGAGCTCGGTGTCGATAAGAAAGACGCACTTGTATACGCTGACCGGAGATGAATCTCCAAGATGTCGGAAAAACTCGTCCACTTTGATGTTGCACTACTGACTTGCATTCTATCATGCAGTGAGACCCCAGGGCTAACCTATGCTATACATCAACGTCATGAAATCATATCAAACCTGTATTAAGTCCTCGGATTCCGAGATTACCAGACAATACCTTCCTGGTTGGTCTGGCAGGCAAGACCAGAACAGAAATCAACGTCTTTCTTGGACACCAATGCTGTGGTGGGAAGAGTCTGCCTCGCGGGCCATATCTCCTGTTTGGATGTCTGTTCTCGCCCGTAGTGATTGAGAACGTTCTCACGGACGAGTTTTTGGAAAAAGAGAGGCCCCATTTCCATGGTTGGGTGCATTTCACCATTGACAAAGACGCCAGCATTGATGTTCTTCTGAGCAAGGTCGCAAAGCGCTTTGTCTTCTGACATGATTCTCTTGTAGATATCATTGATAAGGGTGAAGTCTTCGTCGGACGAGTTCTTGTTTCGGAAGACCTCATACCTAATCAATGAGCTTTTGGGTCCTCGAGGGACGAATCTCTGGGTGAAGAAGAAGTGTGGCCTAAGCACCAGTCAGCATGCATCACAAGCGTTGACACTGGAGACTTACGAGATATTCATGGAAGCATTTGGCCAGAAATAAGTAGCACAGACAGTGAGGCCCTTCTCCCTTTGCTCAGCTGTAGTTGCTCCATTGTGTTGGATCCACGCCCCTTGCACTTTGACACTATACGAGTTGAGGTCGGCCACTGTCGGGATATCTGGATGTGTTGTTTTACAATGGTAGCACTCATTGTAGTTGTCCGCAGCAATCTTCCAGTTGTAGTCGGCTTCAATCTCCCAGATATGGTCGAATTCGTAGTTATCAAAGTTGAATTGGTTCAGGCGTTCTTGAGTGTCAGCACCAGCGAAGTCGTCATTCCAGGCAACCTCGGGTGTTGCCTTGCCGTCTAGGTTAATCCAGATAAATCCATTGACATCAATATGGACGTGGATAGGGAAGAGGCTGTTCTGGGTTTTATCGAAGCCAGGAAGGTCTTGATATCCTGGAGCCTTGGCCATCTTGCCGTCAAGGCCATAAGACCAGCCGTGGTATCGACACGCAAAGATTCTAGCTGTACCTTCCGAGCCTTCCACTACAGGATAGGCACGATGCCTGCAGATATTGTGGAATGCATTGATGTTTCCATTGCGGTCTCGGGCGATGATAATATTGAAACCAGCAATCTCATAGCGAAGCCAGTCGCCGGCTTGCTTGAAGCGGCACTTGTGGGTTGTAAGGAGCCATTTCCTTGAGAAGATAGCTCTCCTCTCAAGCTCATACATCTCCTGCGAGGTATACCATGGTGCCGGAAGTGCCCGCACAGAGGCCTTTTCCTCAGGAGCCGGAGCCGCAGGAGAGGAGCTGCCGAAGCCGATGTAGTTGAGTATGGCCGGTGCCATGGCAAGGATTGATATGATATGAAGTAATTATCGTAGTCAGGGGAATGAGAATTTCTCTCCGAGAGTCAACGATGAGTGCTTGACAACGATTCCGGTGGCACAAGACGGGCCATTTGATATAGGATATGGCACCTCATGGTCAAACTCCGAGGGGCAATCCGTTCCGTGATAAGGAGGCAATGAGCATACTGGGTCTAGTCCCTGGTCATAGCCATCAGCCATCCTTTCTGGGGAATTGAGAGAGCAGGCAAGGCGTTGTGATGTGTCAAGCAATCACTGGTGTTCCGCTTATCACCATAATGATAACAAGAAGTCCCGTTCATGATGTCGGACTGGTCGTCATTACTGTGGCGTCCAGGGATTCGCAGTGATTCTTGACCCGATTTGGCCTAACTTCAAGCCAATATGACTGTAGCGCAAGTGAAACCCCCTTGTATGGCTAGATATCCTTTTCCAGACATCGCCTCCGCCCCAATGATCCTCTCACACTTCACACTCTCGATAGCGGACAGTCATATCTGCCGTCAGTTGTGTAGCATTGGTGGTCCCACATGCAATTAAGCTAGTTTAGCCCTGAGATCATGTTGGGTCTGCTGATGGTCTGTTCGAGACATCGGAGGAGGCACTGACATTCTGATAGAGTTTTGCCGATATGGATCTTACAACCGAATCGGGTTTTAGGGTCCATCCATCACCCACCCTAAAGACGGCAGAACCCTGCAGGGTATTAGAAGCCGACCGAGCAATCAGGCCCCTTGGAGTTTAGCGTACAGCACGGTGGGAAGACTCCATGTTCTGCGGAGTTCTAGTTGACCAGCATCGCATCTTACAATATGTGAAACATCCAGTATTAGACTTCTCCAAGGGCACCAGCTTCCTCTGTTTGCTGTCATCTTGAATATCTTCTATTCTTGCCATTTCATTCTCGAAGCTCAAGTAAAGTGGTTGATTATTCAGGATCATACTCTTGTTTGTCATCGACGTTCAGAGTCCATCAGCGACAAGCCTGATAACCACTTGTTGAATATTTGTTTACAACACTCGTTGCTGTTCAGGGTGACACTTGACCATCACTATGATTGCTCCTGTGCAGAGAGTTGTCATCATTGGTGCTGGGATAGTTGGAACCAATGTTGCTGACGAACTGGTATCGCGAGGATGGAACGACATCACTGTTATTGAGCAGGGCCCATTGGACATGCCGGGCGGGTCGACTTCACATGCTCCTGGTCTGGTATTTCAGACTAATCCATCTAAGACCATGTCACTTTTCGCCAAGTACACGGTGGACAAATTGCTATCTCTAGAGAAAGATGGTCAGTCCTGCTTCAACCAAGTGGGGGGTCTAGAAATCGCAACCACTCCGGAAAGAGTTGAGGAGTTAAAAAGAAAGCACGGCTATGCTTCTTCGTGGGGCATTGATGCGAAACTACTCTCCCCAACGGAATGCTTCGAAATTTATCCGAACTTGAACAAGGATATGGTCCTTGGTGGCCTCCATATCCCAAGTGATGGTCTGGCACTGGCCGCAAGAGCTGTACAGCTCTTAATCGAGCGAACCCGCAAGGCCGGCGTCAAGTACATTGATTGCACACCAGTTACTGGCATCCAGCAGGCTGAGGGCCAAGTTACCGGCGTTATCACAGGTGAAACCACTGTTCCGGCAGATATCGTTATTTCCTGTGCTGGATTCTGGGGCGTGGAATTGGGTGCCATGGTCGGCTTGTCGATTCCTTTGTTGCCCTTAGCTCATCAATATGTCAAAACAACATCTGCACCAGCCTTAGCCGGTTTGAATAAATCTCCAAATGGGGCCAGCCTCCCAATTCTCCGGCATCAAGATCAGGACCTCTATTATAGGGAGCACGGAGATAAGTACGGCATTGGCTACTATGGCCATCGCCCCATGCCTGTCGTTGCGGCGGAGTTGGGCATTACAGCAAAGGCTGTCGACGAAAAGAATATGCCATCACGTCTCCAATTCACACCTGAAGATTTTGCACCTGCGTGGACTGAATCCAAGTCCCTTCTTCCAACTCTCAAGGATACCGAGATTGAAGATGGATTTAATGGAATCTTTTCGTTTACACCGGATGGGGGACCCATCGTTGGACACCACCCGACGCTCAACGGATTTTACGTGGCAGAGGCTGTCTGGGTGACACACTCTGCAGGTGTGGCACGGGCAGTGGCCGAGGTTCTCACCAGTGGAAGGTCCAAAATCGACCTCGCCGAATGTGAATTGTCTCGCTTCGAAGATGTTCAGCTTACGAAGGCCTACATCAACGAGACATCGCAACAAAACTTTGTTGAAGTGTACGACATTCTCCACCCGCTCCAACCAAAAGAGTCTCCTCGTAATCTCCGTGTGAGTCCATTCTATCAGAGACAGCGTGAGCTTGGGGCTTTCTTCCTCGAAGGCGGCGCCTGGGAGCGACCATACTGGTTTGAATCAAATCAAGATCTCGTGAAAGATCTGCCGGCAGAATGGCAGCCAGTTGAACGTGACGCCTGGTCGTCGCGATTCTACTCGCCTATTGCTGCAGCAGAGGCATGGAAGACACGAACCGCAGTGGCGATGTATGACATGACACCTCTTCGCAGACTAGAGATTGTTGGACCGGGGGCGGTGGACCTTCTGCAGAGGCTATGCACAGGAGATGTCTCTAAGAAACCAGGCGCAGTCACCTACACTCTTCTACTCAATGAATACGGCGGTGTCCGCAGTGATATCACTGTTGCAAGGCTGGAAACAGAACTGTTCCAAGTTGGTGTCAACGGACCGATTGATTTGGCATATTTCTCTCGAGAAGCACGATGGCAAAGCCAACATACGCCTGGCAAATGGGCACACGTGCGAGATATTACGGGAGGAACCTGCTGTATTGGTCTCTGGGGGCCCCTTGCCCGTGAAGTTATTGGACAAGTCAGCACCGATGACTATACGAATAAAGGCCTCCGTTATTTCCGTTGCAAGAAGGTTTCGGTTGCAGGAATCCCTGTTACTGCTATGCGTCTATCTTATGTTGGTGAGCTTGGCTGGGAACTCTACGCCAGCGCCGAAAATGGACAGCGTTTGTGGGATGCACTTTGGAAGGCTGGTCAGGCGCACGGAATCATTGCAGCGGGGCGCACAGCCTTCAACTCATTGCGTCTTGAGAAAGGCTACCGATCATGGGGTACTGACATGACGACCGAGCATAATCCATACGAAGCTGGAGTCGGATTTGCAGTTAAAGCTGGAAAAGAAGACTATGTTGGCGCTGCTGCGCTTGATGGTGTCAATAAGGATACACCGTCTCGACGACTTCGTTGTCTCACCGTTGACGACGGTCGTTCCGTCGTTCTAGGTAAGGAGCCAGTGTTTCACGAGGGTAAACCCGTGGGTTATGTCACCAGTGCCACCTTTGGTTACACAATCGGGAAGCCGATAGCCTACGCTTGGCTCCCAGGTACTCTGGAGGATGGGGCTTCCACGGAGATTGAGTATTTTGGAAAGCGGATAGTGGCGACCATCACTCCAGAGCCCCTTTATGACCCTAAAATGACTCGTCTACGTGGTTAACTGGCTGGGTTCTCAGAATCCGTATATACTTAATTCGATGTGTACGTTGCCTCCATTTCTTTAAGACCTGAAACTTGGATGTGTACACCCTTCATGATGATTTATTATGATAGACCCTTTCTAAATTTCCATCTGGTAAAGACTAACAGCTTATGGTACCACATCCTCAGGTTCGCCACCAAGATCGAGGGATAGCCAGTGTAGCTGACTTCTTCAATTACCCACAGCTCTCATCGATAATCTCATTTGTAGACTTTGCGAATATTTGGACCAACTCCTTGACTTCTTGCTCGCTGATGATAAATGGTGGAGCAAATAGGATAGCGTCAAGTCCTCCAGAGCAAAGATATACCGCTGCTCCATTCGAGAGACACCTGGTTGTAACCTTGCTTGCAATCTGTCCACTTGGCGGGGTGATAAATTCGATGGTCCTGAATAAACCAAGTCCCCTGACTTCTTTCACCAAAGGTACGTGTTTGTGGAGCTCTTGCTCCAACAGGTCACCCATCCGTTGCACGTTGCTGAGAAGGTCCTTTTTGATTATAGTTCTCTGAGTCGCTAGAGCCGCTGCACAGGCAACAGAGTGATCTTGATAGGTATGCCCGCTTATGAACGGTTTCGTTTCATGCGAAGACTTCAAGGTTTGGTGGATTCTAGGATTGATCAACACTGCGGAGATTGGTTGATACCCCCCTCCCAAGCCTTTCCCGACGGCCTGAAGGTCAGGCTTCACGTTCCCGAGTGATTGCCATGCATGAAAGGTACCAGCCCTGCCAATTCCACACATTACTTCGTCGAATATCAGAAGAGCACCATACTTATCACACAACTCCCTGAGTCGGGAGAGATAGCCACGTGCAGCAGGGACTGCCCCAAGGGTTGCTCCAGCCATTGGTTCTAGTATGACTGCTGCAACAGTCGATGGCCCCAGAGTCTGGAACTTGGCCTCGTACTCTGCGATCAATCTATCGACGTATGAACTTTCATCCTCTGATGCTCGCGCATCGTGCGAATAAAAGCAAGGCGCGACATGATGAAATACCGGCGACAGCAAAGGTGCGAAAGGACCTCGTCGGAAAGGATGATGCCCAGCAGAAAGTGCTCCAAGTGTGTTTCCATGATATCCATACTCTCGGCCGATAAAGTTGACACGTTGAGACTCGCCTCTTGCAAAGTGGTAGTGACGTGCCAGTTTGATTGAAGATTCCACTGCCTCGGAGCCTGTTGAGTTAGCAGGGCGATGCTTCCAATGAAACGCCCAAACTTACCTGAGCTCAGAAATAATACTTTGGAAAAAGCACCATCACTTAGGCTTGTCAAAAGGTGTGCCAACTCCTCGGTAGGATCGTTGGTGAAGAATGAAGAATGTGCAAAGGCTAGTTTACGTGCTTGGTCGACAATTGCTTCGATCACCACTGGGTGACCATGGCCTAGGCAGGAGACTGCTGCTCCGCTACTGCCATCAAGCGTTTTTGATCCGTCAGGATGGAAGAGGTATACTCCTTTGCCTCCGCAAGCCGTGCCATACGACTTATTCTGGGATCGATGGAACACTGCACTCTCTTCCATAGTGATAACACTCTTTGCTTGAGTTGTAGCTGTCGACGACATTGTACTTATTTGAACAGGACATGTATTTCGGGTCGATATTGGTGCTGTGAGAGGATTTGCAATGCGAAGAACGCACTCCTGTTCTTGTGTCTACTTCACGGATAGATTAGTCGCGGTCTTAGATAAATGGTGACAATGAAAGATCCTCACACCCTGACAGCGGTGGAGGCGAAGCAACCACGCAGCGCTGTGCTGGTGCATGAGGTTGAGTGGAGATGAGGAGAGGCAAATCGTGTCGAAAGGCGTCTTCACGAATATCGCACCCCCACAACGATGTTCTTGTCCAGAGTCGGCTAAAACCGAGCGCCTCGCAGCAAGGGGGCGTGGCGCTCGGTTGGATCCGACATAAGTCCCTCTGAAGCTGGACCCAATCAGGAAGATGCTTGCCCAGATCCATCACGTGCTTTGTTATGGGTTTAAAGACTACCTCTGTGAAGAACTACCTTTCGAGAACGCTGTATGCTGCGGTTGCTTTCAATTCTGATCTTGAATAACTTTCATTGACTTTGACAGTCCCTCTGCACAATATGTCCTCTACAGTCACTCAATCGGTTGACACCTCGATAAACATTCAACCAGAGAAGGAGAGCGTGTTGAACTTCAAGAGAACTGAAACCCGGACATCGTCATTCCATGAGGTTCCCAGTTTTACAGACAAACAAGCTGAACGAAAATGGGCGAAACAGCATATGGCTGCCGCTTTTCGAACCTTTGCCAGGCTGGGCTGGGCCGATGGTGCATCCGGACATATCAGTCTTCGAGATCCCGTCAACCCTCATTGGTTTTGGATTAATCCTTATGCTAAACACTTCGCCCTCATGAAAGCTAGTGATCTGGTCTTGGTTGATCATCAAGGCCACCCTGTGGAGCCAACAAAGCACAGAGTCAATGCTGCTGGTTTTGTGATCCATTCCTCAATCCACCAGGCAAGGCCAGATATCAATGCAGCTTGCCATATGCACTCTCCTGCTGGTAGAGCATGGTCTACGTTTGGACGCGGTCTTGAAATGATCAATCAAGGTAATTACAATCCTCAACGGTGGATTCCAACTCCCTACTAACCATGATCCTTATAGATAATTGCATGTTCTATAAAAACCTCGAGGTATACAAAGGCTTCGGAGGTATTGTCCTAGCAGAAGAAGAAGGAAAGAGGCTTGCTAGTGCTCTCGGCAAGGACTCGTTGAACTTGATTCTTCAAAACCACGGGTCAGTCTTCATTCCCACAAAATATGCCCTTGCACCACAAATTGACTGTTTTTAACAGTATTTTGACTTGTGGTGGAACCGTTGACGAAGCAGCAGCATATTTCATTGCACTTGAGCGAGCATGCGCAAACCAGATCATGGCTGAATCTGCTGCTGCTAACGGTGTGTCGAAGAAGTACGTCGGCACCCAGGAGGCCGAATACACCTACAAATGCACTGGTAACCCTCAGGTATCATACTGGCAGTTTCAGCCCGAATACGATTTGACCGTTGAATTGTCTAATGGTCAAGTCTTGGAATAGAAAAGGGCCTAATTTGTTCCCAAGATAGCATTAATTGCTGGCGAGCGGATAAGGCTCAGACAAATTATATAGATCATAACGAAGATCCTACACAACACAGATCACTTCACCCAAGGCCCCAGTTTGAATGAACGGGCTGCATCTTTTGGCCAGAGATTTGGTAGAAAACTTCTCCTTATTTCCATTTCATAGCGCACCCAAACTCTTACTACAGGACCTCAGGTCCTAGCACGAGAGGACCATTTTCCAGCTTGAGTCGAGGCCACTGTACGTCTCCATTTATGTATAAGGCGCAGTGATTTTGATTTCAGTGCATTATATTCCAACGTCTAAGGGCACAATGCTCTAACCCCCATCAGAGCACTTAACGCTGAAGTTCCTTCATATTCACTGGTGAAATCGCTTTGCCAGTTTCCAAGTACGACCGCACGTTCTCCATCGCCTCTCTGTACCCGCGGGATTTCCCAACTTCACTTAAACCACCCATATGAGGCTGGATGAAAACGCGGTCATTTCTCACGAAGTAAGGGCTGGTAATATCAGTGTCAGCATCGCACCGTCGCATGGAATGAGCAAACGTACTTGATTTTCGGCTCATCTTTGAAGACGTCAAGTCCTGCTCGTAGCACCTTTCCGCTTTCCATTGCACTGATGAGTGCATCTTCGTCAACTACAGGGCCTCTAGATGTGTTGACCAGGAAGACCCCATCCTTCATCTTTGCGAATTCTTTGTGTGAGATCAACCCTTTCGTGTTCTCGTTGAGAGGGCAATGGACCGAAACCACGTCGGATTCGGACAGAAGTTCGTCTAGAGTCGAGCAGTAGGTCGCCTGAAAAGAGGCTTCATCTTCGTTAGACATCCGGGTTCGCTGATAGTAGATGATTCGCATGTTGAACACCCGAGCTTTCCGAGCCACCAGCTATGAATGGTCAGTATATCGAGCGAACTGTAGGTGTGAAGTTGGAAGCAGCACCTTTCCAATTGAGCCCATGCCAATTATGCCCAGGGTCATGCCGTTCGGATCCCTGGTCGGGCTGTACGTCCCTCTCCACGTTCCTTTATCTATGCTCGTCTGTAGAGTCTGTACATCCCTGGTGATGGCGAGGATATAGAAAATTGTAAGGTCGGCCGTAGGCTCGTTGACGGCATTGCGACTGTTACAGAAAATTATGCCATTACGGGACATCCAATCAACGTCAAACTCGTTGTAACCCGCACTGGCAGAGCCCATGATCTTGCAATCTGGAACCAAGGGTTTCAAGAGGTCTGCATCCAGAGGTTCGTATTGCAGCAAGCCAAAAAGAATAACAATCCCTTCAAATGGACCATGTTCCTTGACAGCGGTGGCTAGTGCTTCAATTGTCCTTGTCCTATCGATAGGTGTAACAACCTGGCAGAAGAAGTCAGTGATTGACGAGCTGGACTCGATGGCGCATTTAGGCAAACACGTCCGGGAAGCGATATTCGTACATGGAGATCAAACTTGGTCTTGAAGTTTCGAATATAGTCTTCTCCCGCAGGAGAAGGGTCTGAGATAACAACTACTTTTGGTTTGACGCTGCCCATCTTGGAGTTGGCTTCTAATGCTTGAAATCGAGTTCAGATGGTCAGCTGCCAATCCTTGCTGCCGTAGTTTCGACTTTATACTGGACTATAGTTATCGCCCGAAGTTTTGCAAATCAAAATGCTCCACTTGTCAAAGGAGCCTTCGAGGGACAGCCGGGCTCATGCCGTAGCCCTAGTAAGTCAATTCGTTCTGCCAAGATGTGAATGCATCACGGAGAGCTGATCGTCGCTTGTAGCCGTTCAGGCACAACTCGGGTCACGGTCCACGGAACGAGGGCGTCGGATGTTTGCTGGTGTTTCTTGGCCAATGAACTCTCGCAAGTAGGTCGCTCTATTGTAATAGGCGTGGGCCAGCATATGCTTAGGTCTTAGTCACTTGGGCGGACTTCTGCGGACAAACTGACGCAATGCTATCTCTCGCCTCCACAATGTGCCATTGTGACCTCGCGTGGCAGGGTCATATCGGATCATTCCGACATGGCGGACATCCCATATGATAAACCACCTCGGAAAGATCCATAGATACTTAACCACTACCTCTTCAGAACACCATTCTTCCACTTCCTCGAAAGCTACTCCTGTCCCATACGGGTTTTTAGATCCACGGCTCAACGGAAATCATATCCGTTGGACCCTGTAACTGTTATTGCATGCGCAGAAATGTCCCCGCTTGCATCCACTGAGAATTCGAATCAGCAGTCGCGACGTGTGAGGGTGTCGCGTGCGTGCGTCGCTTGTCAACAGAAGAAGCAGAAGGTATGATATGTCGCATTCGTCCACCTTGGAACGTCGACACTAACGTGTCTCAGTGTGACGGGCAGACTCCTGCTTGTAGGAACTGCCGCCGAACGAACCGAGGTATTGTCCTTCTCACCTTTACCTCAAGATTCTCTGCTTAGATTCCCATCCGCAGTCTGTGTGAGCCAAGATCCCTCGACTAAGCGACGACATCCTCGCGGGTACATTGAGTACCTGGAACACCATAACTCCTCGCTCGAAAATCATGTCGCGAGTCTCGAGCAGACTATCAGCGAGTTGCAACCTCATCTCGCACTAGATGAGCTCGCACAGGAAACTTCATCCTGGCATGAGCAGGATCAAAACGCTCTCGTGCCAATGTAGGTGACTCTTTAAAGCGGAAGTGGCTTCTACTGAGGCATTGCACAGTCAGTCGCGAGAAACCGTCGAAAACTTATTCCGAACATCAGATCCCAGTCCTTCAGCGACATGTACCACAAGTGGCCGCGAGCAATCACAACAAGCGGACAATGCGAATGAGGACCTCTCAAACCTTGAGCTCTTATGTCTACGCTCTGCTGGCGCTGAGCCTCATTTCTTTGGTGCGACATTCGGGTATCCTTTTGGGAGGATATTCTCTGCCACCTTGAAGGCGGTTCGCCAACAAGCTCCTGGATTGAGTGTCACCGGCATCGTAGACGAAACTTCCCTGGATAGAACACGTCCGGCGCCAGCACCACTGCCGAATAGAACAATCGTCAATATGTTGACCACAGCCTATTTTGACCAAGTCCACCCACAGTTTCCTTTCCTCCATCGTCCATCTTATCAGGAGCGCGAAGAACAAGTGCTGTCAGATGCGGAGTCGGGAAAGACCCCAAACCCTATTGACGCCTTCTTTGTTTACATTGTAAGTGTTAAGGATTTGACGAGCCACGCATGTCTGTGATATTGATTTGAGTAGCTCTGCTCCATTGGCGCACTGACTGGTCCCCTGGCGGGTGCTACACTTCCTCAGGTCAGTCTTCAGGATCTCCATCTATGTTCAAATTGCCAATAAATGGAATAGGGTTTATATATGAGCGCAGAGAACTTGCTCGATCATGTGATGCAGAAAAATTCGCTAGAGTCGATCCAGGCTATCCTATGCTGTGCTATGTACTCTATGCGATCGCCAGTTGGCGTCTCCATCTGGTAAAGCTCTTGCACTTGCAGGATAATCTCATCTGCTAATGCCTACGAGGACTCTTTCAGGCATGGCCCTTCGTCAGTGTATTGAACTTGGGTTGCATCGTAAAATACGCTGGTCGACAATGGATACAAATACACTGAAAAACGAAATGCGCAAGCGAGTGTTTTGGTGTTCATATAACCTCGATCGAGCCGTTGCTATGACACTAGGACGACCGGTGGGAATATCAGATTGCGATGTGACGGTTGAGGTATGACTGAAATCATGAATTTGACTGACGGCGCCTAAATCAATGACAGCATTTTGCCGACATCAATGACGAAAACATTACGAAAGAGGGATTTCTAAAGGATGCGCGTACTCTACAAACAGAGCCATCAACGACTGTCTCGTGTGCACTTCACACTATTCGGTTGCGCCAGCTGTGGGGCAGAATACAGAACGAAGTACATCCTCAAGTCACCGCTGAGGCGTCCAAAGATTGGTTTGCCACAACCATTAGGTTCAAAAAAGAGCTCAACTTATGGCTAGAAGCCTCCCCTCCCCGATTGACCTCAAGTAACGCAAAGAGCAGCGCATTTGGTGGCACGGAATGGTTTTCACTCATGTATCACCACACCGTTCATCTCCTCTACCGATATCGCGTCGTTAACAATCCCGATATTGAGACGGCGCCCATAGTATATACGGAGTGTGCACATTCTGCACAGGCTATTACTATGATATACCGACAGCTTTATGTCAGCCAACGCCTCAATGACACCTGGGGAGCTCTCCATACCCTCTTCCTAGGTGCAGTGACCTTTCTGCATTGCCTGTGGGTGAGCGCCGAGACCAGAGAGCTGTACAGACACGACAAAGTTTCTGCCATTTGCACTTCGACCCTTATTGTTCTAGCCATCATGACCGAACGTTGGTCGGCCGTTGAAGCGTACCGTGATTGTTTTGAAGTACTTTCCAGGGAGACACAGACCATGCTGGCAGAACTCGCCTCTGCCACTTCTGCACCTCACCTGCCTGTGATCAGCTCAGGGAGCAATGATCAATTTTACGGTTACCTTTCACACATGAATCAAGTCGGCATGTGCACGTCGGTGGAAGAGTTATTAGCAAGTATGGTAGAATGAAGCTAGAAGTATTGTTACGTCACAGCATTTCTGGGGCTCTGAAGGCAAGGCAAAGCCTCGATCAGATTTCCCTTTTCAATAACTTGCTCAAGAAGCATCGCATACTGTCTGGTTATCTCCAATGATTCGAATCTTGACCTGCGGACAAAGAGATCCATCTTCTGTGTATCTGATGTATCGTCCTTGCAAAAGCAAAGTACCTTATCCACCTGAATATACGTTCTCTGCCATCGCCGTCTAGTGATTCTGCACACGCACACTTACACATCTAGCGTTCAAAGCTTACATAATTGGCCATTGGCTCCAAAGACCGAGAGGTGGTGCCGTCCAATATCCTTGAGAGTCTTGCAACTGAAAATCAAGTAAGCCGAAAGTCCTCATAGTTGGATGGAATAGCTTACCCTGCTAAAGCCATGGTCAGCCGGAGTTCTGCCTCTAGGGTTTTGACCGCCCATTCGACTCCCTCCTGGCCATTGTACTGATTGAAATGTTAGCGATGGAAAGGAAGTTCCCTCGGACAACAACCACTAACCGCCAACCCCCAGATTGGAACACGACCCATGAAGCAAACATCAGCGCCGAGCGCAAGTGCCTTGAAGATGTCGGAGCCGCGACGGATTCCACCATCTATTCCAACTTTTATTCTGCCTTTTGCTGCAGCTGCACATTCTGGAAGAGCGTCGATAGTCGCTGGAACGCCGTCTAGCTGCCGCCCTCCGTGGTTGGATACCACGACGCCGTCAACACCGTACTTGATTGCGAGCAGGACATCCTCTGGACAGTAAACTACTGACTGTGAGAAGGTTTTCCTAGAGATTGAAGACAACTAGATAAATAGGAACATGTACTCACTGCCTTTTAACCAGATTTCGAGCTTTGTATGCTTCTTCACCCACGGGATAACTGATGCCCAGCTGTTTGAAGTATCTCGCTCTGCAAGCCAGTACGATCTGACAGGTCCACTTGAGTCTGCTCCTTCTGGTGGCCGCAGATTTGGAAGCTCGAGATGGGGCGGTAACTCAAATTTCTTTCCCGATCTTTCATGGGCACGTCTCGCTAATACGGGTGCATCCACGGTTATGAAAAGAGCCTGATATCCGGCAGCTAGACATTTGTCAGAAACCTGAAATATAACTGTCTAGGTAGGTGCACACTGTCGTCAATCTGGACAAGGCGCGTTACTTACATTCCGCTTTCTTAATCCAGTTCAAAGCCAAGCTTCGATCCTTCAAGATACTGAGTTGAAAGGCGTAAGGATTGTTTCCACCTTCTTTGCGAACATCTTCCAGCGAAGACGTGGCATAAGTTGAAAGTCCCATGGGGATGTTCATGTTGGCCGCCGCTCGCGATGTTGCTTTTTCGCCATCAGGATGTGCAAGCCCATGCATAGCCGCAGGAGAGAAACCGAAGGGAAGTGAGACCTGACACATCCTCATTAGATCCGTTAGGGTCACAATACATATTCTTAAAGTCTTGAGAAGATCGTACCTTCCGCCCCATAACCATTGTTGTTGTGTCAATATTGGATACATCCGTCAGGATGCGCGGCCGGATTTTGTATCGGTTGTATGCTGCCTCGTTGTCTCTCAAACTGATCCAGAATTAGTATCTCAGAGCATCACAGTATGAAGCAGGTAGTCGGTCTGGACGAACGTGATCTCCTCAGTTGAACCCCCATTAAAGAAAACTATCGTAGTATTGTCAGCCAAGACGCCGTTTATACACTCGGCGACCTTACCCTTAATTTCTTCGGAGACCTTGCCTGACGCCGCTTCTTTCAAGTCGGCAATATTTAGCAAGGCGGGCTTAGGCTGTTCAGGCGATGACATGATGAGGTTGAAATAAGCGGCACCCGACTCGAACACTGAATCTCTCCTCAAAAGAACCGTAACGAGAATATTGTCAGCATGGACAAGGTGTCAGTGAGAGTCAGAAGAAGGTAAATCATAAACATCATAAAATCCGTAGGCTTTGGTAGATCAATGAAGACAAAATTGTTGTTCACTTGGCCCTTCGTACAGCCAGTTGAGCTATCACATCAATTCCTATCAAAGGAGCCTAGCACGATGGCTTCAAACCATCCAGTGGGGTGCCTTCGGCATGATCCATCACGTTGGCGATGGGCCGAGGGAACAGAGTTCAAGCCCGATGTTCACCAGAGATCTTACCAGAGTTCCACAGATTCTCCAATCAACCTTCCAAGACGTGTCACCGTTCGTACCACTGGTCCCTTGCAGGCTGCTTGCGTGGGGAAGCCAACCATCTTTGGAGAGAAGTTATCTCGTCTAAGACCCACACGATCGGCTCGTTCCAGAGCTGGGCTTGGGGTTGACTGATGTACCTTTGAATGTTCGAGACAAGAGGCAGGGGATTACTGTTGTGTTCATCGGAAAATAGGTCCGCTGAGAATCTCTTATCGAGGGTTGTAGGTCACGTTGTAGCTAGCCAAGAAACGGACATCAACGCGTCAAATCAGGAGTGAGATGCTTTGTCTTACACGCGGGTCAAGAGGGTCAGATCTTGGAGACTGACGTGCCTAGGCTCTGGAGTGATAGATTGCGACGCTGGAATTTCACGCTAACGGATGTTTGCGATATTGGTTTGATAGCCTTAACAACGAGGGTCCCAAGCCTGAACCACAACTCTGAACTCCGAAAGCATCTCAACCCATGAAGCGAGCATCGAAGCAAGTGTAATTGAAGGAGACATTGCTGAACTGGACCCACAAAAACGATAAGAGTATGCCTTTCTCTTTCCCTTGATGCGGCATAACCCGACTGAAGCAGGGGACACGAATCGGCTACAACAATGTCCCAAGAGTTGAGCTGGAGCGTTGTTAGGGTTATAAGTCTATCGAGAGCGATCACACGCTCAAGAAGTATCTTCAAACTATCAGTCTAACAGAACCTGAGCGTCATCTCATTGCGCAGCTCCGGATCAGGATGTCGATCAACAAACGCGACCCAACCCTAGGCGAAGATGCCGACAAGGACACCTTCAAGTCATCGAGCCTACACAATGTCGACACGGAAGCAAATGGCGAGCTTAGTATCGATCATGATGCCACCAATATAGGCGTCTTTGGCCACGCAGCTGCCGCAGGCGGTGCACAATACCGCGTCATGGGACGCTGGAAGACTGGATTCGTATTTATCCAAGCCGAAGTCGGCATCGGCGTCCTCAGTCTGCCATACGTACTCTCAGTACTGGGTCTTATTCCTGGGCTGATTGCCATTGCAGGCATCGGCCTAGTCGGCGTCTGGACGGGTTATGTCATTCTGCTGTATTGGCAGAAGCATCGGCATTGCGACAACCTCATCGATGCGCTTTTACAGCTAGGAGGAAAGCCGTTGGCGACCATTGGATACATTGGTCTCATCCTAAACCTGACTCTTGCCTGCGGCTCGAGCGTCTTGACCATGAGCGTCGCGTTGAACACAATGTCCAACCATGGCATGTGTACTGTTGGCTTTTTAGGGATCTGCACCATTGTTGGTTTCTTGTCTTGCATTCCACGCACGATGAACTTTGTCGGACGGATGTCAGGTATGATAGAATCGCTGCGCAGTATCTTCTTAACCAGCATCCTAACAATATACATCTACAGGTCCTATGATTATCGGAATCGTCGTGCCCATTTTCACCGTTATCATCTCCTTGGCCATCGCACCGCCTCAAAATGCACCACCAATCTTCGACAAGGAAGTCAAACTATGGGGCAACCCAACTTTCGCGCAAGGATTCAGCGCAATCCTTAGCATCTGTTATTCATATGGCGGAAGACAAGGCTTCTTGACCGTCATCGCGGAAATGGCCAACCCGGACAGAGACTACGTCCCAGCTCTGTACATCCTCCAGGGCTTCGCGGTACCAATGTACCTGATCACTGGCGGTGCAATCTACGGACTCGCTGGACAATATATTACATCCCCGGCTCTTGGAAGTGCGCCATACATCCCTGCCAAGGTTGCCTATGGCATTTTGATGGCATCTTTGCTCAACACCAGTTTGTTTTACGGCCATACCGGTACAAAGTTGATGTACGTCTCCGTCATGCGAGACATTCTCAAGATCCCACATGAAATGACCCGTAACACGGTCAAGTCCTGGGGAATTTGGATTGGCCTCGGGTTCGTATTTTGGGTCTTTGCTTTCGTTTTGTGCGGCTCCATCCCCATCTTCAGCAGTTTTATTGCGATCGCCTCAGCCTTGTTAGTCTCGTGGTTCTCTTTTGGCCTGCCTGCTGTCTTCTGGCTGAACCTCAATTGGAAGACCCAATTTCGACGAAGTTGGAGGGTTTCAACAATTGCAGTTCTCAATTGGGCTCTCCTTGCCTCCGGTGTCTTTCTCAACGTCTGTGGCATGTGGGCATCTATCAGCACATTGGTTAACCTTTTCAACGACCCAGAGAGCGGAGTGCCTGGACCATGGACTTGTGCAGATAACAGTCTATTTTGAGCCGTTGGAAACATACTAATGCCAAGTACGCAATTGGCAGTCATAAATATAAATTAGGCCTTGAGGCGGCCCGCAGCTGCTGTATAGTTAGGAACTCACGCGCTGTGAGGGGAGTTCTAGGTTGAAATTGCTCTGAAGTAGAGAAAGACATTGAGTAGAAACAATTCTATATTTGGATTCTCCCATGAAACTGGGTAAGGTCCTCTCCTACCAATAGTGCAATTGATCCGGATCATCCCAGTAGTATGTCGGGTCATTTCCATCAAGTTCCCTCGTCGATGTTCCGTTTCCAAGATACTGGAATTTATTTTCTGTCCAGTATGAGATGTCAAAATCCTCTCCACAGAATTCATCCAGCATGTGGAAGTAATGAATCCTGCTCCCTGGATGCAACACCGTAACTGAACCATCCGTTTTGCCATTTTTGAACCACGACCGACACGCACCGGCCCAAGCTGTTCTGGGCATAAACTTGTCGATATGCTCGGCGTACTGTTTGACGAATTGTTCCTTAGGCTCAAGGGACTTGATATTCTGTGTCT